GTCGGGCGGCCGCCTCCCGGGCCTCTCCTCCTGGGCCTCCGGGCCGTGCGCGGGGAGCGGGGCTCTGCCGGAGCTCAGCCCGCACGTCAGATCCGCCTCCATTTTGGCTCTCCCCCTGATGGGGACCGGGCCGTGACCGGCGTGTTCCTGGGTAGCCAACGCCAGGTCCAGTCGCTGGGGAGGTTGCTCTAAGACATCGAGGTGTATTGGCTCATTTTTTTGTCTGTGTTGATGCCCATCTTGGGAGAGCAGGTATTCCCTCCTAGAATCTTCCGGCTTTTTAGGAGACACCTGGGAAGGTAGATAGGCCGACTTTAAGCCACTTGGTGATGCCTTATTGTGGCTATACAAATCTGGGCCAAAATATATGCCTTGGGAAGGCGAAGGACTGTGCCTGTTAGGTGCCGGAGTAGAAGGTCTGCATGCAGCATTAGAGAAGTCATAGAAGTCAGGATATTCCTGTTGATTTTCTCGAGCATCTATTTTTTGCTCTATTGCATGTTTCTTTCGAGAAGTGGGCATGTGTCTGTTCTGAATACATGAAATGTGCTGGGGTGGACCAGGCCCTACTTCTGCAACCGTCTGGCTTAATTCTGTGTCAACCGTGAGCTCTGGTAATCTTCTGTCTTTTAAAGACATTGCTGACACACCCATTGCAATATCTGGCATCAGTTCATTTAGCAAGGGCTGAGTACACTGGAAAAGAAAAGAAATTGGTTCATGGAAACAAAATCAAAACGAAACACAAACTGTATTTAGGATGGTCACTGTAATGCAAAACAGCATTTTCCTAAATCTACCTTTGCCTAGACTCGCCTCAGCCTGCAAGTTTCCTACACTGCTTAAAGAACATGTATATCCTCCAACCTTCACCTTCCTTCTGGCTCAAGAGAAGACTTTTCTTTTGTGAAGCTGTTGTGCCACAATAGTAGTTCCTTCTCAAACACATTTTGTCTTGAACATGCAGTAAATGATAATTTACTGTTACACTCTGAAAAGGGAAGTCTGCTATAAGTCACTTGCAATTATCAAACTAAACAAGGTGCTCAGGACAGAACTTAACAAATGGTTTGTCACAGCACAGAGCTCCAGTGCAGGGAAACCACCACGTATTTGTCACTATAGATGCAACTCTCCTGCTTGCATTTCCTATTTTAAGGTATCTTAACTGCAGGCACACGGGTGTGGCTTTGGGGGGAACATCAATTCCAGCACTATCACAAAGCACAGAAGTTGTCACGTTGCTTTCTTCTCACCTATAACCATACACTTGTCTCCTTGCAGGATTGTATATCAGTCTTCCAGACAGAAGAGTTAAAATTCCTACTTTTATCTATCATTTCTAGTGAAAGCAATTTTAGTAATCATTACTAAAGAGCCATGGTGCTGTGCGAGCACTGCACAGTGGCAGTCACAACGTTAGTGTTATCAACACCCTTCTAGCTCCCAACACAAAACCCCTGCACTATGAGAGCTGCAATGGAAAATCAGCTTAGCCAGACCCAATACATCTTTGATTACTAGTAACTCACAGATTGCAGAAAGAATACAGAACAAAAAATAAAAATAATCACCCATCTTAAGTCTATGCTTCTCTTTGCATTTTTCATAGAAACATTCTAGCAGAAACATTTCTAATGCAAAAAAGGTCACGATTACACTTTCCTTAGTGAAGTCAGTATTGATCGAGAGAGATATGCTACAAAACACACCCTTGAACAACAGCAAACCATTCTAATTTGAAGTTAAATATTTAACCTAAAATATAAAGAGGAGTGCAATATATTTAGGACAATTAAAATCCATGTTTCTATTCAGAACTCCAGATCAAATCTGCACCTGAAGAACAGGTTTTCAGTATGACATAACTGGGCACCGAAACACTTTTCTCAGCAGAAATAAATTACTAAATTCTTTATTTAACGTTTTATGTACTTCAGAAAAAGTCTTTGACCAGTATATTATACTTCATTGTTTCCACTGCATCACACTGTAGTTCAGCAGCTAAACGCTGTAACAAACATCTTTGTAATTTGCAATTACCAATTTCTGCTTGCCTATTCATTTTAAAGATCTTTTTCACAGCTCTAAGCCCTTCACATTCTCCACAGGTTCCCTTTATACACAGCTGTTCAGTTCAGGACTACCTACACGTGAATGGGCAGAAGATCATCACTACTCCTACCTGTGAATTAGAGCATACAGTCTACTGCTGAAGTTGACGTATCCTTATTTTTAATGTAGAGCAAGCTGTACTATTTTAGAAGACTTGTGAGTCCTACCTGCTCCTTCAAAACATTCCTGCCCCTGGAACATTCATTCTCTAGGGCATGCCTTTGGGATGCAGTACGCTGACAGACACTTTGGCAGAAAACTCTTCTAACAAAGATGCTTTTTTAACAAAGCCAAGGCACGTCATCCTTAGAATTCTATCCAGTTCCTCTCTAAGCTACTTTGAGTGGCTAGAGATGAGGAGGAGAAACCCAAATACTTACTACTTGCTTCTCAGCTGCCATCACTGCTGCTGCGGCAGCCACCGTTTGCCTCCCCAGAGCTGTAGTGTTAGTGCAATCAGGAGGTGCTGCCTTAACAGCAGGCAAGTAGCCGGGCGGCACAGCCTTGGGAGCGGCTCGGGAGTGGAACAGCGCGTGGTTGCACGGGTAAGAGAAGGAGCGGGATGGATGTTGGTTTGGCACCCTTTGTTTCCAGCCCACTTTGAACTGGTTATGAATCGGAGTTGCTGGTGGGTGGTATGGAGGTGGAGGAGGGGGCAATGGTGGATGGAAGGCCACAAAAGAGTCCAGTTCTGTAAACATGGTTTCTGCAGTGGGAGTGCTGTTAACGCGGCATCGCCCAGACTGCCTCATTGTCAGGAGTGGGCTCTCGTCCCCAAATCGCTCATCCGGAAAGAACTTGTGAGGATTCTGCAAAGCAAAACACCCAGCGTGTAACCAAAGTACAAAAATCTTCTAAAATAACACGTGCTGGAACTAGCAATCTGCTAGCGTTGTAACAGGCTGATTGTGTCACCTAAAACCTCCCCAACGTTCGAGGTGATCACAGCTACCACAGAATAAAGATTTTATTTTTTTTTAAGAAGGCAAGAAGCATCAGATCCACTGTGTGAGCACGCTGACCAACAACTGCATTTAACAGCTGTGTGCAAACAGAAGTGGGATTTCCAATTTCCGAACCCTGCTATGCAATATGCTGATCTGTTGTATTAGTCAGGACTTTCTCTCCTCTCAAAAACAAAGCATAATCTAGATTTCTAGTTATGGCTTGACTATTCTGATCAACTGCCTCTTTGGCAATTTTTCTTTTGTCCCCAAAAAACAATGGCAGTAAGAGCACCCTGAATGGCAACAGCTCTCCAGCGAAGTATTTATACATTGCACTGACACATTTTTAAGAGCCACATACATCAAATGCAACAGTCTCACTGTCATTTGCACTGAAACAGCTCTAAAGCTATGCAGGCCTTTCAAAGCAGTTTTGCTCCTGCATGTGTACACACACAGTGGTTCTCTTACTGTATATTACACACTCAAGTCAATTCAAAAGCAGAATGAAATCGGAGCACCTGTGGTCTCAGAGAGCACCTTCTCCTACCTGGAGAAGCTCGGCAGCAGCGTCGGAGAGGCCGAACTCCCGCAGGACGCGGATCTGGATCTCGTAGCTGACGGTGGCGCCCTCCCCGCAGTTGAGTGCGTACGCCCGCTGCACCTGCTCCGTGTGCCGCAGCTCCTGCAGCCGCCTGACCATCTCCCTGACAACCAGGAGGCTGGGAACTGCAGGGGTGAAGGGGAATGGATCGCCGAAAAACCGAGATTACTTTTTGAACGCTAAATTTGACTGCAATGGTCACATTTAATTCTGAAGGAAAGTTTAACATCAAGCTGACCTGGCTTTTTTCTTTGCCAAGAAGAGGTTGACTTACACACATTCCTTGGAGCATCATTAAGCCACAAAGAATAGCACACATCATACAACACCATTTTTTCCAGTTTTTGCTAGAATATAAAACTTTACTTCTTTGTAAACCCCTTATGATGCAGGAATTTCATTCTTTGAGGTGGGGGCAGGATATCTTAAATCACATCTGAATGTTCCCTCATGAATTCTATGGGCCAAGAATTCAATGATTTTTTTTGGCATATGCTTCATACTGCTAGTGGAATTCTATAATCATAAGACCATAACATTGGTATGTAAATACAGAAAGAGCACTCTAAAAAAGATTATACAAATTGTAAGCCAACATAAACCTGTTAAAATTATGTTGGTTTATGTAGTCATATTGAAACAATTCAAAAAACCCAACAAAACAACAACAGAAAAAAAACCTTTCCAAAAGGAAATTATATATAATTTGGAGTATTTATCATGCTGCAAAACTTTCTCATGCCATTTCTTGCTGCTGTTTAATAAACGAATGTTATTTCTCTATGGATTTTCTGTCCTCAAGAAAAAGTGTGTATCATAAGAGAAGACAAATCCGTATCTCTGAATACCTAGGTCCTGTTATCTGATCCTTTACCAGCTTTACAAGCGTTACATATTACCATGACCAGATGTCCGTAAAGAAAGCTCATAAAAATGAAATCAGACAGCAAGAACAATGTGAAAAGACATTTGCATTGCAGAGTAGAAAACCCAACACCATGCAACTACAACTGGCCCAAGCTTCACAAAGTTTACAATGGTACATGAAGAGTAAGTGTAAGTAGTGCAAAATATTCCTCCCTCCTGGGTAGAATCAATTCTATCCAGTCTACAAGGCTTGGAAGTAAGTCCCCCACGCTACCCTCCTGCTCTGAAAAGCCCTTGTTTAGTAGCCAGATGTTTAGCTACAATCAGCTACAGCCAGTGTTAGCATTTTGCTCACACTGAAAAAAATAGGATTTTAGAGAAGTTTAGGGCTGTTCTCCAAATCAGTAGGCATAATACTGATATAAGTTTTTCACTTAAAGTGCTATCTTCTCAAGCCTGTTTGTTTCTGCTTTTTTTACTGTTAATTCATGTGAAACACATGGAAGAGAGGTTGTATATATAAAAAAAATAACTCTCTGAAGTCAGTTGCGGGACTTCTAATTCAAACTGAAACTGGAAAACATCTCAGGAAACCAAATCACCTGCAGAACTTAGTTGCAAAGCAGAACAGCTTTCAGCAGAGGTTGAACACATTTTACAGTAGTTCTGCAAGAAGCACAGCGAGGTGCTGCCAATGGCACTTATACAAACATAGCCCTCGGGCTAGCAGGCACCAGGGAGCCGCAGGCAACAGATGGAGAACACCTCAGGTGGAAAGGAACCCCTGTTTTAAGAGCCTGGCCTAAGGAGTGTGGAGGTGATGGTGCCTGGCTCTCCCTCAGGCACTTCCTGTGCTCCATCTATGCTTTGGGACAGACTGCTGTATAAGTTATAGGTTAGGGATGTGCCTGAATCTCCTCAGATTAATTTGGCTCCATCAACCCTTCCTAGTACAAGGCATTGGCAAAACAGTCAGTTCCTTTGTTCAATCACAGATCTGAGCAAAGCAGGCAGTTACCAGGTCACAATACTTGTGTTCCAGCTACTGGCCAGGCTCAGAGTTCATACCTATGCTGAAATCAAAGGGCTGGCAATAACCCTACATACTAAATTGTACAGAATCAAGATGTTGTGGAGCTTCAGTCGGACAAGATGTCTCACATTTGCCAACAGTGACAGAGTTTTTCAGAACACAAGAACTTTTGCAAAAACATTGGAGGCTTCCGAGAACTTGTTTCCTTTCTCAGCCTCTTCGGAAACTAAGATGGAGCAAAGTGCTCTCAAAGTCACATCTAATGCTGGTATACTTCATATTCAGTTCATGGCAGGTATGTTTATGCTTTTGGGGGGCAAAGTCCAAGTATTATAACATACTGCTGAGATGCCACAGCTGTAAGTTTCTAAACAATTAGTACTTTTATCAAACAACAGAAGTTTTCAGAAGTTCCTTTTAGACTTTGTCAAGTCTCTTCCCAAATCACAATAAACAAATCAAAACCATCCTACGGATACTAGACTAGACAGACAAATCCTTGACCTGACCCAGGATGATGACTTAAAGGGCTAAAGAAAACACTCCTTCTGAGACCAAATTTTTACATGTCTTTTGACACATTTGGGTTTGTATTGCTGCACGACAGTTGCTCTTCATGGTGCTGTATAATGTTGATTTTGAGGCTTTTCTCTGCAGAGCTTCCCCCAGCCATCCTGTATGCACAGAGCTGACTACACGTACATAAACACAACGCTTCCCACTTTCTTCACTGAATTTAATCTCGGTCACTCAGCTATTTAATCCTGCCCTCCAAAATATCCCCTCACCCTTCCAATTTGTCATCAGCTGCAAGTTTTGTGAGTGTGTTCTCTGCACACTGAGTATTAACAGGACAGAGGAAAGGTAGGAAGAGCTAGATTCTTTGGGAATCCCACTGGATGCATTCCTACAGTTTGACACCAAAAGATCAAATACATAAATTGCAAGATATATTACAGTAGTTTTATGACTGTGTTCCCTGTCTTGCCTATGGGGAATGTTACACCAAGTATCCTGAAGTCAAGGGAGGCTGTATCTACTTCCACCTATAAAAACACAAAGAATGAAGTTGGTTTGACTTCAAAGCTAAAATGGATTGGGTAAACTGAAAAAAAGTGTGTTTTCAGTGCCTACTACCAATAGTTTTCTGACAAACTGAGTTAAGCTGACTGACAAAGTTATGGTCATAACCCTCCCCTGCCCACCCACTTTTTATTTTTAAAAGAAACCAATATTCTGTCATTTTCCATCCTTCTGGATCTTGTCCATCTTGGACAACTGGTTGCAGAAAACTGAGAACCATTCTGAAAACAGAGAACCAGGCTCTACCAAGTGTTCTACAGTATGTTTAACAGTCCAAAGCTCTGCAAACTTGCTCAGCTGAAGGAGGTTAAAATACTATGCCCTCCAGTGGCTTATTTTCTAACTCCTTATGTTGTCCAAAACCAGTTAATGTCTTCCGTGTTGACCAAAGCAGAAGGGATTACCACTGGGTGTTAGGAATGCCAAGCGGTGCAGTACTACTCTGAGGAGATCATCTCATCCAATGGATGCCATTCCCTCTCCCTGGCCCCAGGCCCCCATGCAGGCAGCACTGCAGGGGATGTGGCAGCCTTACCTGGGATCTCGTTGGCTATGACGGAGGGAGGGCTGGACTGGTTCGTGCTGACTTGCTGGTGGGTAATCATGTGACAGCACTGCGGCACCGCGTTGTTTACCATGTAGAGGGTGTCGGGGACGTTGGACATCCGCACCATCCGCAAACGCACGAGATCAGTCTGCTCCACCATCATCTCATCCAGCACGGACTGCAACGACAGGCACAGAGCCCTGGTGAAGACACCCGCGGCACGCGCGCGCGCTCCCGAGGCCAGCAGCGTCTACAGCGCAACTCGTCCAGCTCCCAGACTGCACTGGGCTCCTCCACAGCATCTTCTATGCCACTTCCCAGTCATGATCAGAGTTGAGTTTCAGAGCTTAGAGCAGGCAGGTGAATGGATTTTGGGAAGGTTGTTTTGTTTATTTTGTACATGTCAGATTAGAAGTAACCTTCTCAAGGCCAGAACCTCTGGAGAACATCTCAGACAATCACTGCCTACAGGCCTCAACTCTGTGCCATTGAGCAGAAGGCACCAGTCTGAAAATGAAATATGTTCCTCTCAGCTGTCTTAAAGAACAGAAGGGGCTTTCTATATACCCTTTTAAGATTCTCATTAAATGTTACATGGATTCATTTCAATAAACAGGAGGCTAACATGGGAGTAAAAATAAAAATACATCAGAAATCACTCATCTGCAATTTTTTGCAGTTCACAATAATTAAACTATGAATACGAGTATAATTACCAGGTAGTCAGTATGAGAGTCCTCCTAAGGTTAAACAGCTAATGATGCTTTTAAAAACATTAACAGCATAGTATGAAACTAATAGAAACAAGTAGGTTTCCTGATGGGGGTGTGGGGGAGAATAATTTAAAAAGCACTTTAAGATTACTACTAAAGTACTGATAATACCATATATACTTGAAAACTAAAAGAGTCAAAGCTTTTATCCCATGTTCTTTAACACTTTTTTGTTAGTTTTAACAACCCAAGACACAAACATAAAATTTTAACTGACTAGTCTTCCTTTGCTGTTGTAGTGCCACCTGGTGCTCTCCAACCTTTGCATCCAAAGTGCAAAGCAGTTTTACTTCTCCTTTCCCCTCAAAGAGTATGCCAGAAACTCAGACACTTAGAAAAATATTTTCTTTCTTAGGCACAGGGCAAAAGCTCAGAATTCACCACAGTAGCAGTCAAAGTTTAGAGGCAATGTGGATGTTCACAGCTTCACCTAATCCTCCTGTTCTGCAGTCACTTGCAGTGCTGGCACTCACAGGCTCCTGACTCAAGCCAGAGCCACCTTAAGTACTGGCATTAGTCAGCCACCAAGCAGGCTCCCGTTCTGTCAAACGGAACACAGCACGTTCCTGCCCCGCATGGAGCCATCGCCACCCTGCCACCAAACACCACCATCAGAGATGCTGCAGGACCTTCAGTTTGACAGTCCTCATGCAAGATATTAAACAGGGAAGCTACTGCCTGAGCAGGACACCAAGGACTTCAGTCAAATGGGACGTGAGATATTTATTCCATTTTGCGGAGGATTGAAAGAATTTTGGATATGTTCCGATTCAAACAAGATGATGAAATATCAGAGTCCTCTGCTGAGTGGAATAGCTGTTCTCCACCCAGCTCTGGTGGGAGCTGGGGAGCCTGAAAGACCTGGCACCAATGTTGCTGATTAGCTGCAAACTGGGACTCTCAGGCCTCACCTTGCCATCCGCCTGCCAGGAGGGCTGCCGAGGAGCTGGGCCGGCCAACTGGCTGGAAACCAGGGAGGTTTCCCTCAGAACGCTGCTTTGTTTCCGCTGGAATTTCATCAAGATCTGTCTCGCAAACATTTCAATTTTGACAAAAGAAAAATTTTGTTGAAATTTTTCTGACCAGTTCTAGACACTTGAGCCTGATGATCAATCTTGTAAATCTTGTTAAATTGAAAATGTTAGTATTTTAGGCCAGTACATGCACAGAGAGACAAAACATACCAAAATCTTTGCCTGTTTATAGAACCCCCCGATGACTCCAACTTAACCACAGTCATGTTGTTAATGATCATTACCTTAGCCTCCTCCACATACGGTGAGAACAGTCTTGGCCGCACATATATTCCAGCATTTTTTTGCCGTAGCCAGGCATTTGATTTTCCACCTTCTGATGTTGGTAGCATGTCTGAAGGAGGAGTACTAATAAGGCCTCTCTTCATCTTTAAGAATCAAGAAAGAGTTTTATGGGGTGTTAAATATAAATATGGGAAAAAATATGCAAGAAAGGCATTCCTTACATTGAATCCTTAAACCACTGATTTTTCTTTAGCCTTCTTTAAAGAACAGAAAAGTTAACCAGAAAAAGTTATACACACATTACTCTGAGCAATAACATTTTAAGAGCTAATCCTTGAAAAAGGTAAAAAAAAAAAAAAAAAAAAAAAAAAAAAAAACAACACAAACCCCTGAATATTGTAGAATCTTAAGTTCAAAGAACCCAGAGATGCCATCTCTATGACTACTGACTTACTGCATCACTCAGTACTTCACTGTTCATGGGTAAGATGTGCTCAATGCGGACAAAAGGTAAAAGTGGAGACAGGATCTCTCTCAGCTCCTCAATGTCAAGATCTCTTCTCTTCACCCCTCTTTTGTTCACACTGTGAGCAGTACCACTGAGTAAATTAGGCTCTACGGGAAGGAATAAAAAATACTAACATCAAAAAGTTTAAATAGGAAAGCAGAAATTTCTCTAACTTCCTATAAGCCCTGTAAAGAAAATTCTAATTTTAAATCTGCAGTGCTTATCAGCATTATTTCACAAAACTACTTCATGCCTTGAAATCTGCTATGAAGCATCCATAGAGACAAGTTCAGTTTATAGGAGCATGGGTCATTTGCACAGCTTCAGTTTCAAAGCATAAGTCAGGGAGAAAAGACAAAACCAGTATTTGGGATAAACATTTACAAAAGCTCTACCAAAAGCTATGCTATGAAAACATTTGTACCTCCCTGCTAGCAGTTCCTCCAAGGACTCTTCCCCACAGCTACCTTCCCTTTCCCCAGCAGTTTCCAGATTTATTTCTGGCAGATGAAAGCCTGAGGAGTCCACTGGGATAAATTATTCCAGCCTCCTTGTATATCCCACCTGAGTGACAACTGTCTCAAGCCCAGTCACAATGCTCTCATGGGCACAGGGTGCATATTTGTGCCAAGCGCGGGTATCATCCTGGAGACTGCGAGATGACGATGTATGACACACTCTGGTCCTTCTTGGGCCTAATCTGACAGGATTTGGCATAGCTCTTACTTTTACTTTTGCTTATCATGTTATCTGATGATCCCAGTAAAAAGGAATTATCTGTTTACCTAATGACCACCACAGACCAAGAGGCTACACAAACTCCAAATGAGGAACTTCTCCCTGGCCCCCCCATCAAGGTCTGTTTACTGCTGGGCAGACTCCAATACATTCCAATGTCCCTTATGACAAACACAAAATCTTGTTTTGCAAACAAGAGGTTAATACTTCAGCAGGTCACTGAAAGCACCTTTTTTTAACTGACTTCTTGTTGCATTTCATACAATATATCCATGACAAAGCAACTGTATCACTAGCTGTCACAATGGATTTCAAAAACCTGGCCAGCCCTCCAAAGACAGTAGCCACAGCAGCAAAACTCTGTTTTCACACAGGCATGTCTTCCCTCTCTGCTTCTCTCACTGTACCATCTGATTGACACTTCACGGTGGGGCTGATCTACAAGCTACTTACATTTGTCATTTGGAAAATACGTATTTAACCTACTCCAACACATAAAATTCCTCTTGAAGTTGTCACTATAGCAAAAATATGCATCCGAGATAATAAAAATACATTTACATCTACATCAGGAAAAAAAACTAATGCCACTTGATGTCTTGTTCCTCCCTACCACAGATTTTTGTAGGATAAAGGTACTCAAACTGAAGTGAAAAGCTTACACAGTAAACTAAGACTGCTGTGAGAAGCCTGCATGAGCACAGAAAAGTACAAGATACTGCAGGAGGGATTTTAAAAGAAAAATAATTCTGAGACAACAGGAAATCAACCAGGCTTAAAAATCAGACAATCATAGAGGTTGAAAGGACCTCTAGAATCCTGGTCCAGCCACAAACACTGTCCCCCTCCTCCCACCTTTCCAGGCAGGGTAGAGCAGGCTGCCCTAGACTACGTCCAGTTGGGTTTCGAAAACCTCCAAGGATGGAGACCCTGTAACTTACCTGGGCTACCTATTCCAGTGTCTGGCCATCTTCACCGTTTGTTTAAACAGAATTTCCTGCAGCTCAGTTAATGCTTCATTGCCTCTCATCCTGTCCTGGGTGCCAAGGAGTGTGGGGCTCTATTTTCTTTGCTTCCTGATGTTAGATATTTATAGACTTGGCTGAGATTCCCCCCTAAGCCTTTTCTACTTGAAGCTAAACAATCCCTGCTCCCTCAAAATGCCTGTGTTTTCATTGTTAAGAGAACAAAAGCTTCAGAAAATAAGAGCATTTGTTTAGTTTTGACCATACTATGAACAAAGTATATTAAATTCCTTTAAGTTATAGATTACCCACAAAAAAGAACTTCCACATATTTTTGTGTATTTGGTTTAGTACTATGTGATTTAAAGGATTCTCACCTCGATCTGCTATTCTTTTCATCAGCTGGTGTTCTCCCCATTTAATCAGATACTTAAGAATATCTTGTTCACTTGCCTGGTAGAAAGAGAAAGTCAGCCATCCATATATGCTTAATTTAAATGATATACCAAAAGTAATTTTTAAAAAATCGCATAGGTCTTTTACAGCTGTAAAAACCCCACAACTGTATTTGTGCTTTATGATCAGCTGTCCTCCAAATATTTTTGGGTAGTATTCCTAGCACATCACCACCACGATTTTCTAGATTCATGTCATTTACTGAATCGCTAGGAAGAAGGAAAAAAAAAAAAATTCTACAGAAGGAAGAATTTTGCCTAGCATGAAAACTTAAAAGGTGTTAAATTTGAATGACTGGAGTTAATTAAAAGGGGAAGTTCTGACACTGGGTGTTTGAATCTCTTGTTCAACATGACAAATTCAGCATCTGTACAGACTGGAAACCTATGAAAATAATCAAAACAGCTAAATTATAATCCAACACTTTTATTGTGTTGGATAAAATAAACACAATTTAACACTATAAACAACACAACTTTGCTTTGTTCATACACATATACCTGTGCTAACGACTCAACATTTGTCATGTTCTGAAAAATTCAAACTTATCTAAGCAATTTCTTAGCAACCAGCGTAAGAAATTTAGTTATAATAAAAATTCTCATGGAAGATAAAGCGTACTGTTACTGTAATCCCCAAAGAGCTTGAAGTAAAGCAAACTTTAAAAAAAAAAAAACAAAACTTTAAATAATCCTTAGTATTTATACTTTAAAAAAAAAAAAAAAGTAAGATTGGGTCAGGTAAAATTAACAAACTATAAAAGGCTGGTCATCACTATAAAGATATCTCCCCTGAAGAGAGATGGCAGCAAAAATCCACAAGCTTTCTATTAGCCTGTATGGTTTCCTCCCACTAATACCATGCAATCACTGAAGGAAAGTCACAAAAAAAAAAAAAAAATTCTGCAGCTCTTTCCAGAAAAGGTATTTTTATGTCTCTCCCCAAAATAAAACCTTCTGAATGATGAACTAGTTTACTAGCTTCCACTGCCCCCAACTAAGATGTACACTGTTACAGAAAAACTACTACCACCACATAGTCTCGCACTAAAACCATGCAATCACTGAAGGAAAGGCACAAAAAAAAAAAAAAATTCTGCAGCTCTTTCCAGAAAAGGTATTTTTATGTCTCTCCCCAAAATAAAACCTTCTGAATGATGAACTAGTTTACTAGCTTCCACTGCCCCCAACTAAGATGTACACTGTTACAGAAAAACTACTACCACCACATAGTTTTATAGAACGCTTAAACATGCAAGGCAAGTGTTAGGTTCAGAAATGCTTCACTTAAAATAACTTGCAGCCATTTCTAAGTTATTATGAGCCTTCTAAGCAATAGCATATACCACCAGTTTGGGTTGTGCTACAAAGAACAAAATAGTTTTCTTAATTACTACTTCAATTTCATTTTTACGTGTTATAAAAGGAACACCCAGTGTGCATAAAAACACACTCTTACCTACAATTTAAAATGAGCTACTCACAAGAGTTTCTTGTAATAGTATAACATGCCCTGCTTCAAGCAGGACCAGCTGTATTCTGCATGCAGGTTACCTGTAAATAGTCAGACTGAATAGCTGTGAGCAGGTGGTCCTTGTTGAGCTCATAGAAGACATCTGAAGTCATGACCTGGGTAAACTCCTCACAGAGGAAATGTAGTGCTTGACGATGTACCCACTTGGAACCGTACGGCTGAGAGCTCCACTTCAGAATGGCAATTAAGGTGTCCAGTGAGATGCTCTCAGCAATAATATCTTCACAGCCTAGGAAACAAAAGCAGAAGTCAATGATGTTGTTACAGAGGCACTTTGATCCTGAAGGAATAATATAAATGGCTAAAACTGCAATATAAAGGGTTATACAACTCCCAGTGAGAGTAAAACCAGACGTGCCCTACAGACTATGGCTCCAAATGGGCTTAAATTCTGACTAAAAGTATAATTTTAATAATGATTTAGGATTCCAGGTATACAGTCATCTACCTTTTAAAAGGACATTAAATATATCTGCTGACGTGCCTGGATGAACAACTGGAAAGCTGGTTCAGACCTACTAGAACCTTCTTTGGTTGATCTAAATTAGCAGACTTGAACACATTTTAAATTTGAAGCTTTTGGTCTTGAGTCACCCTTGTTTGCACCAGATTAAGAGAAGCTGATAAACCATAACAGAGATGGGACTTTTTATCACTTTCCACATGGACCCTCCTGATACAGACCAAGCAGAGGAGCAGAAACTAAAGCTGACGTATTGTTGGTGCGCCGCTACTCAGCACAGGATGAGGGCAGCAAAGGATCATTTTCTGGCTCATGAGAAGGCAGGAAGCAGCAGTCAGTAGCCAAGTATTCTGTTGTGGTGAATCTGCTACAGTTTTTTTGTACCCACCGCTGCATTAGGATTTACTCTTTCACAGAGTGTTTTCTGAAGAAGAGACGAGATATTTTAAGTCTCCTGAAGGGAGATGGAGCGGATTTAGAAGAGATGAGGGGAGCTGTGGGTGGGCTGAAAACACAGGTACATGGAGTTACTGAGTTCAGACAGACTGTACCAAGATGTCGATTACAAAGTCTCCAATAGCGCTTTGCTGATTTCATTTGTACATCTGTTTTATATATACAGAGAATATAACTTCTATTTGTACTATAAAGATAGCAATTTAAAGAAAAAAAATCCTCTTCTAGAATTATACATTCCAGTCTCAACCCACTACAGCCACAAAATTACAGCTGTGCTTATGCCCATGAGAGGTCCCTGGACAATTCAGAGCAGCATGCTTACATTGCAATTATTTTACTTTTTATATGTCATCATTTTTTTCTCAGTTTCAAGGATATTTAAAAACTAAACTCTGACAGCTGTTTCAAGAACCATGTTTCATTACTGAGTTCTTGGATTAAGCTGAGTAAGACAGCATGGTAATCTTAACCTCTGTCAAGACAAAGACCAAAGAGGATCTCCTGATAGTACATATTTTTGAACTGGTTGCATACATGTAAGACACAGTATCAGCAATTAATAGAATTAAAAGAAAATCTTACTTTTCTACATAGGCCTGCATATAGAATGTGTTGATTCAATTTCTGTTGCAATTAATGATGTGAAGCTTAAGTGATAAAGAAGTAAGTAGTAACAAGTCAGCATGCTACTTCAAGTAGAAGGGTATCTGTCAAAGGAACTACTACTTAGGAGCAAAGTCACTGAAAAGGGAAACAAACAGTAAGGTAAAGAAGGTGGTACTAGGAAGCAACAGCTTAAACACGAGGCAAGTTATAAAGTTACCTATCCTATTAAACACATGTATTTCTACTTAATACTATAAAAAAGCCAGCATCTTAATTATGAGAACAATATTCCACCATTAAAGTTTTCTAAACTTAAGTATTAAAAGCCCCCAACAATTAATATAATAAATACAGTCAATGCTCAGTGAGAATGTTTGCAGCAAATTCCAGGAACATATGAATGTATGCATGGTTTTGGAATATTTTTTTTTTTGTTTATTTCCTAAAGGAATTTGAGAATAACGACTCCCCCTGCAACACTAATAACTTTTACACCCATTCACAGTTCAACTTTCCTCAATAAACACCTGCACGATTTGTTTTTCAGATGCACACTTCACCTGAGAAAAGGAAGGCCATGTATCAGTGCAGCCTCTGACAGCAGCTCTAGCTAAAGTCTGAGCGATGTGCTGGAGGCAGCACTACGCTCTCCAGCCCAAGGCAGACTCCACCTGCTTCTGACAAAGGACTAAGTGTTGAGTCAGGTTTCAACAAATCTGCTTTGTCCTTTACCATTACTGAAGGAGCACAGCACTTCTCAAAGCTGCCTATTACCTTTAAGTTACACCTTACTATGACTACTACAAGTAAGAACAGACGTCTTACCATACCTCTTGACCTCTGACCTGCATGAAGAGGACAAGCTTAAAGTGTGCTGTGAACACGCAGCAAAGATTGGGTTTACCTTAATAAAAAAAGCTCAATATACTTCAGCATGTGCCAGAAATACAAGTAAATTAAGCCTGAAGCTTTCTACTTCAGATCCATTTTTACTTACAACTTCCCTTACATTTTTACTTCTATAGGTAATGGCTGAAATTGTATTTAACTTTGTTGTGCAAGTGCCTCTTATCTTTCCTTCTGGGGCTCAAAAAGGAAGCTAAGTTAGCAGCAGATGCGGTATGGTGAACGAAAGCTAACCATGACCAGTTGCAGGATGCTTAGAAGTGTTCTTAGAAGAGAAGTTTGCTTCCCTGAGTAAGAAACAAGTTGTTTGAAAACAACTCGCTTGAAAACTTACTCTTGAAACAGCTCCTTAGGGTCATCCTAACACAACTTTTTGCATGTAGTTACTCTGTTTGCATGCAAGCTGACTTCAGCAGCTGCCTACCTCGCCCTGAAGCCTACAGAAGAACATGTAAGGACTGCTCCATTTCAAAGGCAGTATTTAAGCCTCTCACTGAAGTCAGTCATGAGAAAACTCAAACTGTAAGAGCAAAGAGACTTATCTCAAAGTGAATGCCATCTGACATTTATTTTTGAAACAATGTGAAATGCAGCCCTGAAGATCTGACCAATTTATTAGCATTAGCTCAGTCTCAGTTCTGTCAAGCCCAGTTATTGCACAGCTACAATAATATGACATCACAGAATCATAGAATCACTATGGTTGGAAAGGACCTCTAGGATCATCAAGCCCAACCTTCATCCCAGCATCTCCCTAACCACTAGGCCACAACCCCAAGTGCTACATCTACTCATTTTTGAAACACCTCCAGGGACTCCACCACCTCCCTGTACAGCATGATCCAGTGTCTAAGCACTCTCTCAGTAAAGAAACTCTTCCTAATATCCAAACAAAACCTCCCCTGGTGCAATGTGAGGCCATTTCCTGTCATCCTATCATCAGTAATTTGGGAGAAGAGACCAATGCCAGCCTCACTACAACCTCCTTTTACATAGCTGTAGAGAGCAATAAGGCCTCCTCTCAGTCTCCTCTTCTACAGATTAAACAACCCCTATTCCCTCAGCTGCTCCTCATAAGGCATGTTTTCCAGCCCTCTCACCAGCCTCACTGCCCTTCTCTGGACCCACTCCAGCATCTCCATGTCCTTCTTATCCTGTGGTGCCCAAAACTGGACACAGGACTCAAGTCGCAGTCTCACCAGTGCTGAGTCCAGGGGCACGATCACCTCCCTGCTCCTGCTGGTCACACTGTTTCTGATACAGGCCAGGATGCCACCGGCCTTCTTGGCCACCTGGGCACACTGCTGGCTCATGTTCAGTCTGCTGTCCACCAACACCCCCAGGTCCTTTTCCACCTGGCAGCTTTCCAGCCACTCCTCCCCAAGCCTGGAGCGTTGCCTGGGGTTGTTGTGACCCAAGTGCAGGACCCGGGACTTGGCCTTGTTAAACCTCACACAACTGACCTCAGTCCATTGCTCCAGCCTGTCCAGATCCCTCTGCAGAGCCTTCAGACCCTCTAAGTGGGAGTGTTGGTCTGCTAATTTCATGTCATCTGCAAATTTAGAAATTTACATTCAATCCCTTCATCGAGGTCCTTGATAAGGATATTAGACAAGACTGGTCCCCAAACCGAGCCCTGAGGGACACCGCTTGTGACCGGTTGCCAACAGGATTTAACTCCGTTCACCGCAAGTCTCTGGGCTCAGCCATTCAGCCAGTTTTTAAACTGCCACCAGCTTCTCCAGCAGAATGCTGCAGGGAAATGGTGTCAAATGTGTTACTGAAGTCCTGCTGGCTGGAAATCATCACCTGGTATCATCAGGGGAAAAGCTCATTTAAGATGCCTAGAAAATGAAACAGACCCTTTTCCAAGTAATTTTAGCAATGTGTCAGAACTGTGAGTTTATTAAAAGCATTTCTTTCAAAGTAAGCACGAGATAATAATTAAAGAGTTTTCTGAACATCTAAATAAATGGGGGCAGCTCAGTTCTAGCTATGGAAGGAATCCAGTTTCTCTTCTTCTTTGGCAGAAGGTTTTTTTGCTGTAACAGTCAGCTACTTGGCAAAAAAAGCAGTCACCCGATAGCCACAATATTGTTCTTCACAGTAGAAAAGAGCATTTTTTTTCTCCTGTGAGTACTATTTCATAATATTCAGGCAGCAACAGCCTTTCCAAGATCTATTTGCAATATGCCGAAGTGATCCACCAAAAGCTTATGTTATCTTCCAGAGATTCAACTTGCACTCTAAAGAAATGAAAGATGATTATAACGTTTTGGAGCAATGAGGGTATTCCATGCACTCCTTTTGCTGGATACCAATAGGTCCTGCCTACAAACATGTCCTTCCTGCTTCCCCAGTTGCCTCTCAAATGCAATTCCAAAAAGATTTAAAAAAAAAAAAAAAAAACACCAGCTTGAGCCCAAGTTTAGCATGCTACCTAGTAGCTTGTGAATCTTATCAAGACAGTTGACAGACCTACTAGAGACAAATTAGGTGCCTTCAACAGTTAGCAAAAGTGGAAGGAAGCAATGTGCTTATTACAAAATTGTTAAGCTTGATTTAACTCATTCTGTCATACAGACCTTTCCTCTAAACTTATGCAAACCAGCGAAGCCAGTTAAAAAAAAATAGTAAGAATTCATATTGACACTGAACTGGAGTCCTGAAGCTATTCAATGTTTTCTTAGGTTTGTCACAGAGACCATGCTGGCAATCAGGAACCATACTTTTTGAACTTGCTGGCATGTAGAGAACAGTTCAGAGGCATGACCTGTAGCTAGTCTGGACTACAC